GTGATATTTGATGCCTATTATATCCTCTACAACTGTTTTGGATGTGTAGGCCAATTAAGATTTTTTTTTTTAGGTCATTTTCTCCTAGCTCAGTAAGCTTTCACATCCAGGACTGCCTTGACGGTAGAAATTTCTTCAAAAAAATCTCCACTGAGGAAGCCCGTGAGGGCGAAACATGTAGGGAGTAACTACAATTACATAACCAAGTTTGAATCTCAGTTTTACTCTTAGAATTGAAATTGTTTTTATGTTTCTGTATTTTTTCCTTTCTTGTTGTGATTTTTACAAAAATCCAAAATAAAAATTATATAACTTTTTAATATGTTTGGTATTCATGTTCATGCCCTCTGAAAGTCTTATCTTCTCTATTGGATATTTGCAAATGTTCATACTGTCTACACATTGGTTCTAAGGAATTGCATATATCCATATTTAAAACAGAAAAAAAATATATTGTTTCCTATTAAAGCTGGGTCTTGAATTGTTTGCATTCCTCTGGACCAACAGTGTGTTTAGGGCTCTAAAGATGCAAGGTTTTCATTTCTGTCTTTTAGGTAAACATGATGGACAAGTGTCTCCTTTCAACCTGACTATGTGACTAGGTAACAAAATACCTTTAAAAAGTTACTTTTTTTTTTGCTTTATAAATATAAGGAAGCGACTGACAAATACCCCAACGTATTGCCCTTTGTTCCCCAAATACAAGAGAAAATACATTTGTTGCTGTGCAGACTCTTCACATTCATATACTGTTAATTTAGTCTGAACACAATGCACTGGGCTGTCACCGTCTGATATAAATTGTACGCTCCTATAGCTTGCTGCGATGGGAGTGAACCGTCACTCTCATTCATTGATTTAGTCCGCGAGAAAAAGTTTTTCTTCCTACCCCATTAAAAGTAACACTAATGAACAGCGCGGCTGACCTTGAAAAGGCTTCGGCCGCATCCCGCCAGCATTTCCCACCCAAATTTAATCTGTATAATGGACACCTTAAAAGCCCTCTCCAAGAAAAAAAAATACTCTCTTCTCCAAAAGTAAAACACTTAAAGAAGCATTTGATTAATGCCTGAGTGATTAATCAATTGATGAATATATTTTCAGTACAGATGTGAGGACATCGTCCACTTTAATCAGACACTCTGGCGAAGGGGGAAAAAAGAAAAGATGGATGTCCTGTTTTCCTTTCAATGTGTCTTCAAAAATAGCTCTTTTTAATTGGCGCTTTAACTGCCTTTTTGGTGTTATAATCTCTAGGATGTTCCTCTTTTAATGTCTGAAAAACAATTCTCAATTAGAGGCAATAATAAACAGAACTATAGTGCCAAAACTAAAAGTACTGATCTACTTAGCGGCATTAAGTAGAATCAGTTTAAAGATACTCTAACATTTGCGTGATTGTGTGCATAGATGTTTGTGACTGCGGTACAGAGATTGTGTTGGATCTAGATTTCTTCTACACCATTTTAATCATAATTGTGGATAGGATTGTCTGTTCTTCAATTGCTAGTGGTGAGACGGCAGTGTAAAGTGCCGTCATGAAAAAGTACAATATGCTGGCTGGTCTCCTTCAGAAAATACTTGTTGCCTGGCTGCAATACTTATAATGTAGCAACACACTGCACTCTATTTTCTGCTCTCTGTGAGGCTGTGACACTCAAAAAAACAGTGTAGCAAAAGTTTTCTTTTTAAAAAAATTGGACCCACGCTTCATTATCTTCTCCTCCAGCGGTCCCCATGTTAGATGTTTGAACACTATGGTAGGTCTTTACCACACTAAGGCTCTGACCTTTGCACTGGACTTGTGGTGTTATACAGCACTCACTCCTCCTCCAAATAACAGATTTATGGTGTTATACAGCACTCACTCCTCCTTCAAATATCCAGATTTATGGTGTTATACAGCACTCACTCCTCCTTCAAATAACCAGATTTATGGTATTATACAGCACTCACTCCTCCTCCAAATAACCAGATTTATGATGTTATACAGCGCTCACTCCTCTTTCATGTCACCAGATTTATGGTATTATACAGCGCTCACTCCTCCTCCAAATAACCAGATTTATGGTGTTATACAGCACTCACTCCTCCTCCAAATAACCAGATTTATGATGTTATACAGCACTCACTCCTCCTCCAAATAACCAGATTTATGGTGTTATACAGCACTCACTCCTCCTCCAAATAACCAGATTTATGATGTTATACAGCACTCACTCCTCTTTCATGTCACCAGATTTATGGTGTTATACAGCACTCACTCCTCCTCCAAATCACCAGATTTATGGTGTTATACAGCACTCACTCCTCCTCCAAATCACCAGATTTATGGTGTTATACAGCACTCACTCCTCCTCCAAATCACCAGATTTATGGTATTATACAGCACTCACTCCTCCAAATACCCAGATTTATGGTATTATACAGTGCTCACTCCTCCATATCACTAGATTTATGGTGTTATATAGCGCTCACTCCTCCAAATCACCAGATTTATGGTGTTATACAGCGCTCACTCCTCCAAATCACCAGATTTATGATGTGTATACAGCGCTCACTCCTCCATATCACTGGATTTATGATGTTATACAGCGCTCACTCCTCCATATCACTGGATTTATGGTGTTATACAGCGCTCACTCCTCCTCCAAATAACCAGATTTATGGTGTTATACGGCGCTCACTCCTCCTCCAAATAACCAGATTTATGGTGTTATACAGCGCTCACTCCTCCTCCATATCACCAGATTTATGGTGTTATACAGCGCTCACTCCTCCTCCATATCCCGGATTTATGGTGTTATACAGCGCTCACTCCTCCATATCACTGGATTTATGGTGTTATACAGTGCTCACTCCTCCTCCAAATAACCAGATATATGGTGTTATACGGCGCTCACTCCTCCTCCAAATAACCAGATATATGGTGTTATACAGCACTCACTCCTCCTCCATATCACCAGATTTATGGTGTTATACAGCACTCACTCCTCCTCCAAATAACCAGATTTATGGTGTTATACAGCACTCACTCCTCCTCCAAATAACCAGATTTATGGTATTATACAGCGCTCACTCCTCCATATCACTAGATTTATGGTGTTATATGGCGCTCACTCCTCCTCCCAAATAACCAGATATATGGTGTTATACAGCACTCACTCCTCCTCCAAATAACCAGATTTATGGTATTATACAGCGCTCAGTCCTCCATATCACTAGATTTATGGTGTTATAGCGCTCACTCCTCCAAATCACCAGATTTATGATGTTATACAGCGCTCACTCCTCCATATCACTGGATTTATGGTGTTATACAGCGCTCACTCCTCCTCCAAATAACCAGATTTATGGTGTTATACGGCGCTCACTCCTCCTCCAAATCACCAGATTTATGGTGTTATACTGCACTCACTCCTCCTCCAAATAACCAGATTTATGGTGTTATACAGCGCTCACTCCTCCTCCATATCACCGGATTTATGGTGTTATACAGCGCTCACTCCTCCATATCACTGGATTTATGATGTTATATAGCACTCACTCCTCCATATCACTGGATTTATGGTGTTATACAGCGCTCACTCCTCCTCCAAATAACCAGATATATGGTGTTATACGGCGCTCACTCCTCCTCCAAATAACCAGATATATGGTGTTATACAGCACTCACTCCTCCTCCATATCACCAGATTTATGGTGTTATACAGCACTCCCTCCTCCTCCAAATAACCAGATATATGGTGTTATACAGCACTCACTCCTCCTCCATATCACCAGATTTATGGTATTATACAGCGCTCACTCCTCCATATCACTAGATTTATGGTGTTATATGGCGCTCACTCCTCCTCCAAATAACCAGATATATGGTGTTATACAGCACTCACTCCTCCTCCAAATAACCAGATTTATGGTATTATACAGCGCTCACTCCTCCATATCACTAGATTTATGGTGTTATATAGCGCTCACTCCTCCATATCACTGGATTTATGGTGTTATACAGCGCTCACTCCTCCTCCAAATCACCAGATTTATGATGTTATACAGCGCTCACTCCTCCATATCACTGGATTTATGGTGTTATACAGCGCTCACTCCTCCTCCAAATAACCAGATTTATGGTGTTATACAGCGCTCACTCCTCCTCCAAATCACCAGATTTATGGTGTTATACTGCACTCACTCCTCCTCCAAATAACCAGATTTATGGTGTTATATGGTGCTCACTCCTCCTCCATATCACTAGATTTATGGTGTTATACAGCACTCACTCCTCCTCCAAATAACCAGATTTATGGTGTTATACTGCACTCACTCCTCCAAATAACCAGATTTATGGTGTTATACAGCGCTCACTCCTCCTCCATAACACCAGATTTATGGTGTTATACTGCACTCACTCCTCCACAATATCACTGGATTTATGATGTTATATAGCGATCACTCCTCCTCAATATCACTGGTTTTATGGTGTTATAATGAGCTCACTCCTCCACCATATCACCATATTTATGGTGTTATACTGCACTCACTCCTCCACCATATCACCATATTTATGGTGTTATACTGCACTCACTCCTCCTCCATATCACCGGCTTTATGGTGTTATAATGAACTCACTCCTCCTCCATATCACCATATTTATGGTGTTATACTGCGCTCACTCCTCCTCCATAGCACCGGCTTTACATTGCTATACATGTAGCGCTAACCCACTAGGAGCTGCTGAATATGACGGGTTCTCTTGTTCTTTGAATCAACCTTCTCAAGAACTTTAACCCACTGACAACACCAGAGAAACTCACTGAAAGTAATACATAGTACCAGGGGCGGACTGACAACTCATGGGGCCCCCAGGCAACAGGGGATCATGGGGCCCCTGTGTCCTTGTCCAAACTCAAAAAAGCCTATGAAAAAGGTACCAGGGGCATCTCATGGGGCCCCTACTGACCCCGGGCCCTCGGGCAGTGCTCGAGTTTCCAAATGGTCAGTCCGCCCCTGCATAGTATTTTGTGGTAGTGCTATATCAAGGAGAATAGGCACCAAACCAAGTAGTAAAAGTTACTTTAATGCATTTTCACCCAATACAACTGATAAAAAAGCAAACTTGAACTAGATTGATAATGGCAATAATATTAACTAGCATATGGGATTGTCAAGAAAGATTAGGAAAAGGATGGCATCTAATGTCCAGATTAGCATAAACAGTAACAATGCCACCTGAAGTGCAGCAGCAAACAGCAATAAGATTGGATCTGCAAAACTGCAGGGACTATACTGCCAGTGGGCAATAATGGCAGCTATACTAGGCCTAAACTGACTTGATAGCCCAGTCTTTGTTTTCATAAGCAGAAAAGAAATGGGGTAAAGAGGATGAACATGTGATCAGTGGTGAAACCAGTCACTTGATGGCTTGATAGTCCAGTTTAGAGCTGACATAAGCACACAGTATCTATAACATGTATCATTTACAGCATGCCTTGAACACAATTGATTTGGTATACAGTTAAATCAATGGCTTTTGTTCCGCTTTAATCTCCAAGTTGATGGCGGCTTGGACATACTCAGAAAGGGGTGGCATTGCCTATATGAACATTGTAAACAGAGAAATATTAATTGTATGTCCTTTGGAAGATAGATACTCTTTGAAAACATGGTATTTGCTCTGAAAAAAAAATTGCTAGAAGTTAAGCCTAAACCCATTCTGACTGTGAAGCCGAACTCCTGATACCTGATGCATTATACAGTGCAAGGGCACAAAGTCCTCAAAAAGATGTTTGATTGTAGGATGTATGAAAATCCAAAGCTGTTGGGATTTATGTAGAAACCAAGGTCAAAAAATGGTGTACTGTCATGTTTTAAAAATAGCTGTGTCTTTTTTATGGATAAATAAATACAATGCTCTTTAATCACAAAGGTACTGTTAAAGACCAATTTTTCATGAAATGTAAAGTGGAATCATTTGAAGTTGGGGATGAAAGTACTATTCTGTTATAGAAATAAATAATTGGAAGTAGTGGCTAAAAGGTTAAGAAAAATTATAACAGTTTATTTGTCCATGTGTACAGTATGTTATTGGGATATTTGGAGGTCTTCTCTGGATTCAATGATAAAAAAGCAGTTTTTGATAGAAATCCAAATGCAATAATATTTTAAAGGCAAAAAAATTTGTGTGTTTTGTTTGTGTTTTAGTTTTAATATATGCATTTTTTTGTAAAACATTGCTAGAAAATCTATACAATAATGCATCACTGCAAAAAGTGTTTTTTTAGTTAGTAACTGTGTATAGATCAGAAATCCTTTATCTTTATCATTATCATTGCAAAAAAAATGCAACAAAGGTTCAATACACAAAAAAAAGATTTGGTGCCATGATAACACACACATCACATCACATCACAAGCTAAATAAATTCAAATAAATACAATAATATGAAAGATAAAATATATTAACAACACACCACCCAGCCCAAACTATAGTTACATAGTTAGTCTGGCTGAAAAGAGACAAAAGTCCACCCAGTTCAACTATAGAAAAAAAAAAAAGTTATAATCCTATACCCACAATTGATACAGAGGAAGACAAAAAAACCCCAGCAAAGCATGATCCAATTTGCTCCTGCAGGGGAAAAAATTCCTTCCTGATCCCCCGAGAGGCAATTGGATATTCCCTGGATCAACTTTACCTATAAATGTTAGTATCCAGTTATATTCTGTGTATTCAAGAAATAATCCAGGACTTTTTTAAAGCAATCCACTGAGCTGGCCAGATCCAACTCTTGAGGGAGTCTATTCCACGTTTTCACAGCTCTCACTGTGAAGAAACCTTTCCATGTTTGGAGATTAAATCTCTTTTCCTCCAGACATAAAAGTGCCCCCTTGTCCTCTGTGATGACCTCAGGGTGAATAACTCTACACCGAGTTCACTATATGAACCACTGATGTATTTATACCTGGTGATCATATCCTCTTAATCTCCTCTTCTCAAGAGAGAATAAATTCAGTTCCTCTAATCTTTCCTCATAGCTGAGCTCCTCCATGCCTCTTATCAGTTTGGTTGCCCTTCTCTGTACTTTCTCCAGTTCCCCAATGTTCTTTTTTGTGAATTGGTGCCCAAAATAGGTCTTACTAATGATGTGTACCGGGTAATATGATATCTCTCTCTCTGGAGTCTATACCTCTTTTAACGCAAGAGAGAATTTTGCTCGCTTTAGAAACCACAGCTTGGCCACTATACATCTTTAAACCATAGCTATTGTACTAATCCTATAAATGCTTGTCCCAAGTGGTGTGCAGGTGCAGCAGCAGGGTCTATGACCTCTTGCCTTGACCTATTCTAGCTGCCTAACCCAGAAGTCACTGGATTTCCACTGGATTTACACCACCTCCCTCTGTGTATGTGCAGCTTTCTGGAAAAATGAAATGTATTATGTTGCATTGAATGATGTAGCTCCTCTCAGTCCCATCCTGCATCTTCTTTTCTGTGAAGTCATTCCTCTCCACTTGTAGGCAGGTGCTGTCTGTACTCCCCTCTGTAGGTGGCGCTAGGTTTGAGCAGCAATGCAGAAGGGGACGGAAGGTGTGGAACCTGTTCCTCTATGACTTCCTGCGCTCATCAGGAAAGCAGTTATCTTATTGGACACTGGTGCCCTCCTGGACCTACATGGCTGTTATAACTGTGAGGGCCTATTTAAGACACTTACTCCCTTGTTTGGTGCGCATTTTGTGAGTGGTTAGTGTAAAGACAGATTACCCGTCTGTCAGAGAAAGTGTATAGCATTAGAGAAAGGTTCTGGAGAATTAGGGACAGTTCAAGGACCATGCTATCCTCCGCTTTAGGAATCCTCCCAGTTTGGTGTAGAACCGGCCATGCCGCATTCCTGCTGTTCATTGCAGAAGCTGTCGGCATCATTTGAAGCTAACAGACCGCTGCTTCAGGTTCCGTAAGTGGCTCTGGTCAGCAGCACATACCCACCGGGTCTAGTTGTAACTTGTTGGATCTTTCTGCAATACACAGTTCATGGTACTTTGGCCTCTGTGTAATTTCTGCCACCAAACACACCATGCCGCACCCTGCTCACACACTTCTTAGTTCTATCCACAAGCAGAAGACAAAAAAGTTGGGAAGGACTAGGCAAGATGGTTGGTGGAAATTTAAAGCTAAGAACAAAAAAAACATTAACAAGCCCACATAGATGGAATTCAGAATCTTTTATTTGCGATAAACAAATCACATCAGGTGTAGGCACAGGAAACCTGTAAGAGAAGATGCTGAATCCTGACTTCTCCGATGACTCAAGTCTGCAAGCACCAGTTCCAAGTACAGTATGTCATACAGTGAATCCCCTGCCATGCTGCTTTGTGGTTCCTTCTACTAGCAGATATGTCACTACAGGACACAGTAGGGTAGCAGCCAGCAGGTGAAACCACAGAGCTCGTGGGGGACACGCTATACAACACCCCCAAAGTATCAGATGGCAACAGTTCACGTAGGCTCTGCAAGAGTGAAGACTTGACTTACCACGTGTTGGAGACATCATTATTCAGCATCTTCTTTTACCAGCTTCTTCTGCCAGAAACCCTTTTACGCTAACGGCAAGGTCGCTTTAAGACCCCCTTATAAGGTAGACTCCAAAGCCATTCATTTTTAAGGGGCCATTATAAAAAAAAAAAAGCAAAATAAGACTTGCCAAACAAATATGAAAATCTATTATTGTTTTTATATAATTTTTTTTTGTCTTTAAAAGAACGAAATGAATGCTTATTGAAAACTCTCAATAGTGTCCCTTTAAGTAAGGAATTGAAAGTTATTTGGTACAAGAGCTCTATTGTCATGTAATTTATGAACTGATTTTATTTATGCACGAGTAAGACTTTTTTTCATCCCCAAATAATCACCCCATAATTACAGTGACAAACTGCATTTTCAGGGTTATTGTAGCTTTGCTGAGTGCCAATATTGTATTAGAATTTCTTACATTGAAATTTAAATGGAAAACACAATTACCGGCATTAGTTGATCTAAGCATTCAAAGCATTACATATCCATCAGTGTTCATGTTTAATAAAATCAGCCATAGATCACTGTCTATTGCTGTTGATAAAATTAAACTCTGCTTTTATCAGCTGAAAACCTACAATTTTCAATGAAAAGCAACTGATGTCAAAATGTTCTTCATAGGGGAGATATAGGAAGAACCTTACAAAGCATTTTTTCTCTATTTCTACCTCTTGTCCTCTACTTAGCCCTTGTGGACGGCTTAGGTGAGTACCTGCGAATTTCTCTATTAGCATGGCATCTGGGCAGTAATGAAATTTTGTGCTGAATTGAGCAATTTGCACATATTTTGTGCAGGCGGTTCCTATATGCTAGTAAAACCAATGGACTTCCTTTGATGGCATGACAACACCCTTCTTTATGCAATGAAATCAGGGTAGCGTTGTCACCCTTGGTGCTGCTGTAGCTGCTTAGATGCCAGCTCTATTGATAACCCTATCAGGGAGTAGCCTTTCTAGCTCCACTAACAGCACTTTAGACTGATAACACTGTGGTCTATCTGCATTTAAGGACCATACTTTAAAGTTCAATTCCACTTTTGAAGCCAAATTGGGATCTACATTATATTTGTTATGTGACCCCCATTTACACAGTATAACTTAATATTGAAAAATTGACCTTTTTAGATGCTTTATCCTGGACCACCCAGCAAGGAAATATCCTACATAGTTCTCTTTGTTTATGGGGGGGGCTGGGCAGCTATATTTGCCATAATTAAGTCTGTCTGCTTTATCTATTGTAACTAGATTTGAACACTCATTGTCCTAGCACTGGGTTTAAGGTTTAGATACTAGGCTTCTTGCATTGTATGTTAATGAGGACAGACTTGGGACAGACTCGCTCTCACATTGTTCGAAAAAAAAATCTTACAGTCAGCCATGTCACTTGCTCTTGAGAAACATCTAAAAGGTAAGAAATATATAAAAAAAATGTAGGTATGCTGTATGCCTTCATTACCATACAATGCAAGATGCAAGAGTTTCTACCCCTTTAACCTTT